CTATATAAATTGACTGATTGAATATCATCTCATTCTTCTCTCGATCTCTTCTAATATTTATACCCAAATACATCAAAGTTATTGTTGAAGCAACGGAATAATTCTGAATTACGTAACTCTAAGTAGTTTATATTTGCTATTGTATATTAGTTACTTATATGTCGAATTTTCTTTCAAATGTTCAGGAATACGTAAAATGTTATCCAATGGTGTATTAAATGTATTAATAATAATTTCTTCATGTTCAGTTTTTTTCTACGATTTCATGAATTTTCAACAACATATATAGTTATTTTGATTTCTCATTTATTACACACTTCACGTAATTGTTTTCTTAATAGAGATCGATCATTATATCACTTCTTAGATTTAGTGTCTTCTCGCACTTCTCTATAATCCGTTGTGTTTATTATCATTTTCTCTTAGTAAAACTTTCAACTGTTTGAGTCCAATACATTAACGTTCATGTGATTACCATACATAACGTGATGACAATGTTAATTTTGAATACGTTATTTTAGATTGGCAAATAACGATTCATCACGTAACGTTAATAAAGTAGTGATTTAATTTAATTCATTAGTATGTTTGATAACTTGTACAACATTGTATTGATAACTATATGTTGTAACGAGGTGGTTATCTAGCAAAATGAAAAATTTATTAACGCACAAACTCCCACGATGCACAGCTAACTGCCGCTCCGTAAAACACGTATAGTTATACATGTATTCGCCTTTACGTTTGATGATTTCGTTTCAGTGTCTACTTTCCAACCGAGTTGAACTCACCTTAAACCACTTGACTTGTGACACTCGATCTATCTTCAGTATGACTGACTTAATGCCTAATCCGCCTAATTCCCTAGACGAGATCGGATTAAGACTTAAGCCTTTATAAATCTATTAAGCTATTAGGAAACGAAATAACGTAAACGGCGAATAAAATTAACAAAGTTTAATCAATTGTAATGGGGGGGATAGCTGCAAAAATGAGAAATTTATTTAAGAACAAACTCCCACGATGCAGAGCAAACCGCCGCTCCGTTAACACGTATGTTAATACGTGTATTCGCCTTAACGTCAGCTGACTTAACTTAGTTGTCTTCGATCAAGCAAAGTTGAACTCACCTTAAGTCACGTGCCTTGTGACACACGATGAGTTTTAAGTGTAAGTGACTTTACTCCTAATCCACTTAATCCCCTAGCTATAATAGGATTAAAACCTAAGCTTTTTCCAATTGTTTAAACTACTAGGAAAAAATTATATGACGAAATCGGCGAATAAGTTTAATAGATTTTATTAATAAAAATCTCTACAGTCTTTGTCGGGCCGAAAGACTGACGCACGCGAATAGGATTTACAATTAAATAACTTTCGGTGAGAAAGAGAGAGAGAGAAGATACGAAAATTGGCGCGATCTAACGCTCGGCGCGAATACAAAAAATTAACGCTAATACGGTTGGGCAAAATACCAAATGTATTTTGTCACGCGATAATTAAGGGAGGTGCACCTACCCTGCGGTGTAATTACGGTGATCAGCCATAATTGTTGAAGCAAATTAAAGGCGCTCCTCCGATCAGAATCAGCTGTGCTGCCTCGATTGCAAATCTGCTGTATAATTGCTGTCACTTTTGCTGCTGCTTCCGTGATGCTGCTACTGTTGCTGCTTCCTCGCTCACACTTGCACACGTATCCAAAATCCAAGTAAACTTTTTTATTGGCAAATCGGTGAAACACTGTGCTAAACTATTTTGGCGGTACTACACAAGTAACAGCTGAGATGTAACTGCTAATTCAAAAGATCGCGCGCCCCCTCTCTCTCTCAATACTTAGAACTAACGCGCGAAAATCAGAATCGCGAACGGTTCGATTAATTGAATCGACTACCGTTGCACAATAAAGAACTACAAGTCTTTTATGGGCCAAAAGACGAACGCACGAGATAGGATTCACAATTATAAATTATAATTCAGTGAGAGAGAGAGAGAGAGAGAGAGAGAGAGAGAATTCGAAAATTGCCGCGAAAACTAACGCTCGGCGCGAATACAAAATTTTACGATCGCGATTGACAAAATACTTTCGAAAGTATTTTGTCGCGCAACAATAAAGGAAGGTGCACCTACCCTGTGGTGCAATTACGGTGATCAGCCGTAATTGTTGAAGCGAGATTTAAACGTACTCCTTCGATCAGCTGCGCTGCATCGATACAAATATCTGCTGCTGCTGCTTGCTACTGTTGTAATGCTGCTGCTGCTGCTAAAATGCTGCTGCTACTGCTTTCTCGTAACTCATGCACGTATAAAAATAGTCCCTGGAAACTTTCAATTTAACGGTGAAACACAGTGCAAAAACTTCGGCGGTACTTTCGTGAAAGTAGCTGAGGCTTAACTGAAAATTCAAACCCTCGCGCGCCCCCTCTCTCTCTTAGTCGTTCGAACTAACATCGCGAGTAGATGAATCGCGAACGGATCGATTAATCGAATCGACTACCGTGGCAACGTCATTATAATTATTAATTTTTATTTTGAATATTTCTAATGAAAACTTAAGGAGACTAGAACTAGGACTAAAACTTAAGGAGACTACACCACCGAAAGGTTATTACGAAATATGATGTTTTTTTTCATTAATTTTTTTAGGATTATTCTCAAAGATCTTTGCTGTTTATTGAGAATTTCATATTGTTAGGTAATTAACAATAAACCTACCAGAGCAATCAAATGGCCGCTCCTAAAGCCCGAAAAATAAATGATTTTAAATTATTATATGATAATTATTTTGTGGTTATTGTTTATGCTAAATTCTTTATTAATTATAATCAACTGGAAAAGACTAAAATTGTTTATTTCAAAAACGGTCACTTGACCGCCATTTAGTAGAATTAAGGTCGGTAGGTTTCTGTTAATATTGTAATTATTAAGTAAATTACTATCTTTATTGTTCTTTTTAAACTTAATAATTTGTTATATCAAAAATTATTATATTTTAAAACTTATGCATACATTAATTTTTCCTATAAAAATATGAAATTACTTTAAATAAAGGAATCCGTATTTTGACGTTTCAAAGGATCTTTGAAAGTTGAATTAATCATTTACATAAAACCTTATCTAAACGGAGAATTTCCCGCTTATTTTCAATTGATAGTTAAGAATAGAGATACCGTATAAAAAATAGTTGATATAGATATAACCTTGGGGGTAAATTGGACGCTATATATAATCAATCATCTGAACGTAAAATTTTACGCTCTTTTTGAATCCACTGTTAAAAATGGAGGATTCTATTAAAAAAAATTGGCAATGAGATTATCTTCAAAGATTTAAAGGTCAGATTCAAGGTTAACACAATATATCCTTCTTAGATACCAAATAGTTTATTTGAAATATTTTTGGCTAACTCATAAATTTCAGCTAAATTTAGTGCAAAAAATAAAATAGAACACCCTATATGAAATGACATTTAAAAAACTCCAGAATACAATGCTGTCGTGTATATTATTGCATAAGCTACGACTTCGGTATTAAGGCCGTAAATCGCTGCCCCATCGCTTAATTCTAAGTTCAACTATTAAAAAATACATTACAAAAAAAATAAAAATGAGTAACAAACAGCACAAAAACCCGGCATTTTCGTAGTATAAAAATGCTAAAAAATAAAAAATCCAAAAAAACAAGTTTTCAGTGAATGGAAAAAGTTAGCAACTGACTAATTTCATTGACTATAAGTGATAAAAGTTCAATCACATAAACTGTACAAAATACGTTCGAAAATCTACAAATCGATAGAAAAGAAGTGGCTTTAAATAAAATCTGTTCTGATTGAGCATTGTTTTATGAAGATTGCATGTTACCCTGTAATGTAAACGAATTTTCGAAAACCGAATTGAACTTAATACTCGAATCGCGTAGCGGTAAATCATCCCAATCCTCAGCCTTAACGGAATCGATTAATATGCTCTTAAGAAAATATCTCTTGAATATAAAACTAATACTCATAGATGTATTTAATAAAAGGTATCGTACCTGCACTTTTTTAAAAGACAGGAAAAAATTATATATATTTTGTCGACAAATCTGATAAAGTAAACTTTAGATCCATAGCATTAACGTCAGTTGTATGTACTATAAACTCTTCTTGCGCTCATCTCTTGCTTGAAATAATTGTAAAATTTTTGTAAAATTTTTGTTCTTTTTATTCCCGCATATTACCTTGATTGTTTAGTTTAAATTTAATTTAAGTGTCGTAAGCTTACGTATCCAGTGCCTTTGACGTGTTTTTTTTTTAAATTTTGGTTCTGCGGTAAGATGTCTTTTGTATTGATCTCGAGTGTTACTAGAGGATTTCATTCGAGGCGTTATTGTGCATTTGCCATCGTTGTAATCTGCTCCCTGCTTGATAAGTTACTACTATTTTTAGTTTTGTACCGGTCGGTGTATTTGTTCTCTGTCTTCTGATTTTCTTGCGAATGAAATTTGAACCTTTTACGACGACTTAAATATTGTGGATTCTGCAAGTCCATCTTTTTTCTGCAGCAACCGTAATACGATTTACTATTTCATCTGAGTCTCGTCTAGATTGCGATTTGTGCATACGAGTCGGACTGATCTTGCTCGCCAAAAGTCAATATTATCAGCCAAGAAGCAATGATTTTAAATGATTTTAATTTAAACAAATTTCGCTTTGACTTATTCCTTCACTTAATCATACTCTTACGATAATCTCGACTTTATTTAGATAGCCGAGAAAATTTAGAATTCAAGAATCTCAACTGATGACAATATTAGTATAATAATGAAAATAATAATCAAAAATTATTAGCAAGATTTTATCAGTATTTTTTTCTACACGTGTAGTTTATGATAGAATAAATTAGATAATAAAAATTAAATAAATAAAAAATGAATAAGAAAAGTCAGATTCTCGAAAATTTACAGTTTAAATAGAATAAAACTTATAGACAATGAACTGTAACAATTTTGATTTTAAAACTTACTTGTTTGCGTTGAAGTAATAAAAGAGATCCATTGTGTAATAGGCGAATCAAATCTGAGAAATTTTGTTGACCTAGATATCTGAAAACAGAATTCAAATAGTAGCAAATATCTTACTTATATCTTTAATTATTAAATAATGATCGTATATTTAGTGATAAGTCAACTTTTACGAGGGTTATTCAATAAGTCCGTGACTTTAAATAAAAAAACACTACTTATTTAAATAATTACAATTTATTTTTCAATATAGTTCCCTTTAAATCTATACATTTATTATAACGGTGCTCAAGTTATTTTATGTTCTACAAAAAGTAATTTTTAACAAACTCTTCAAAATACTTATTTGTTGCAGCAATTACCCCGTTGGATGAAAATATTTTATCCGCAAAACCAATTTTCATCTCTAGAAATAAAAAATAATCGGAAAAGACCAAATCTGGAGAATAACGTGGATGAGGAAGTATTTCATAGCGTAAATCAAATAATTTGGTCGATGTAATGAAACTCATGTGAGTTGGTGCATTGTCGTGGTGGAAAAAATTTTTTTTTCGCCAGATGGGGCCGCTCAATTCTTAATATGGCATCAAATCAGTCTAATAATGAGACATAATATTCTTCTGTAATAGTTTTTCTACTCTATAGGTAATCGATTAATATTATACCATTTGAGTTTCAAGAAATTATACCCATTACATTTCCGGCTGATCGTACCGTCTTCGCTTTTATCAGCACAGACTCATCTGGCCCATATTTTCGTTTGATTTTTCATTTTTGGCCTGGAATAATATATCTATCTTTCAGTAGCAATAATGTAGTGCTGCAAAAATTACTTTGGATTACGTTGAAACATGCTCAAATATTGCTCAGATGCAAACACACGAGCACGCTTGATATCAACTGTGAACAAGCGCGGCACCCATTTTGCAGATAATTTTCTCATGCCCAAACATTCATGTAAAATGGTCTATGTGCATTATACTAAAATCTTCAGAGCCTCACTAATCTAACGCACTTTCAATCGACGATTGGCAAGAACAATATCATGAACTTTATCGATCATGTCTTGAGTAGTCACCTCTTGGACGGCCAGGATGCTCAGCATCACTTGTGCTCTTACGGCCATAATGTAATTTGCGCAGACATGAAATTGCAATGAATATCTACTACTAAACTATCCACAGGTAATAGTAACGGTATCACATGTAGTCTTTGTTATTGTGGTTTGTATTTTAGAATTGGATTAAGCTCAGTTTTGCTTATTAGAATAAATGCTCCATAAAACTAATATACATTCAAAATTCATCATAATTAACTTATTAATTTTATAGCCCGCTCATGTATGATCAATAATAAACGATCCTATACTATTTTCGCAGCTTACATTTGCATGAATTTGACCCCGGCAACGGTGAAGCATCAGTTTGCGAATATTTAAATATACGAAACATGACGTCATTCTCAAGAGCGACTAGATCACGAATGTAAACGCCTAGATAATGAACATGAGTAAAACAAATCTATGCGAAACTTTCAAGGTCTTTAAAATCTCACTATTCGAATTTACAAATGTTTCAAATGCCATGCGTTGGAGCAGTTTCCATAATATTTCTTGAACTTTTCTTCAGTTTCATTAATGTATTTTCCTCGTAGGAAATAATGTTTAATAAGCACGCGAAACTCATTTTTTCTATAATTTTGTTACAATGAAAAACTAAATACAAATGACTGTAAAAAATTTCCAAACCAACGTACTAATTTGAAACTTTGTATACGCACTTAGATTAGATCAGACTCTCTTACAGTGTAAAAGACATTACGATAACACCACCATATTCCTAAAAGTCACGGACTTATTGAATGACTCTCGTATATATTTGACATATGCATAATTAATTTATGAGTTCAAACTTTTGTTAAAAATATTCGATTCCGTTATTGTAAATGAGAATTTGAATTAGTGATTATCAAAATTCACGTATAATTAATATCAAATATTAAAATAATGAAAATAGCACTGTGTATTATACATAAATAATAACCTTAGTGATAGACGTAAATTACCAACAGAACGTGCTCCTCGTTATTATTCAAAGTATATGAAGATACGTCGTTATAGGACGTATGATACCGAATTATCAATAATACCTTAAGAAAATGGCCTCTATAGCATCGTATTATGTGTTTCGCAACAATCTCTACATTTTGTACCTTTCAAATAATAAATGGGAATTATTCCAATTTTTAATCTATAGCAATTTCCAATTGTGGTAGATCGTACAGTGCCGCTCACGCACTTTTACCCCCCCACGGGCAAAATCAGTCTAACTTCAAAGTTTTATATCTCTGGTAGAAATTAACGTACAGAGACGCGCGTGGGTGCGTTTAAAAGGTCTTTCGGAGAGCTTTCAAATGATATGACTCACGGTTGCCATCGATTGTTTTTTTAAATTTTGCAACAATTATGCAAAATTGAAAATTCTGAAATTTTTTTATTATTTTTGACAATTAGCCAATTTTGGAAAAAAAATCGTACGAAAATTTAAAGTACACCATTTTTTAGCTATTACCAAGCCCTATCTGAATCACTCATCAAAAATTTATTTTCGTCAAATATGACGCGCGCACGGGCATTTTTTCCTAGAAGTGACAGTTTTTTTCAACATTTTTTATCTACGTCAAATTGTAACAATCGAAAAAAATTTATAGGAGAAAAAATGTTTGTTTTTTCACGTAGAATACTGCAATAATTTTTTTTTTGGTTTTTCGAAAAATTTTTTTTTTCGGTTTAAATTATTTTTCAAGGTCGAAAAAAAAAAGATTTTTTTTTTTATGTAATTTACGGTACTTGTTATGTAGTATTATTGAATGGGTGGAAAAAAATTTTTTTTTGTGGTTTCTCATCTTTTTAACGTACCGACTGTGAGAAAAAAAAATTGAAAAAAACCGAAAAAAAAAATTTTTCGAAAAACCAAAAAAAAAATTATTGCAGTATTCTACGTGAAAAAACAAACATTTTTTCTCCTATAAATTTTTTTCGATTGTTACAATTTGACGGAGATAAAAAATGTTGAAAAAAACTGTCACTTCCAGGAAAAAATGCCCGTGCGCGCGTCATTTTTGACGAAAATAAATTTTTGATGAGTGATTCAGATAGGGCTTGGTAATAGCTAAAAATTGGTGTACTTCAAATTTTCGTACGATTTTTTTTTCCAAAATTGGCTAATTGTCAAAAATAATAAAAAAATTTCAGAATTTTCAATTTTGCATAATTGTTGCAAAATTTAAAAAAACAATCGATGGCAACCGTGAGTCATATCATTTGAAAGCTCTCCGAAAGACCTTTCAAACGCACCCACGCGCGTCTCTGTACGTTAATTTCTACCAGAGATATAAAACTTTGAAGTTAGACTGATTTTGCCCGTGGGGGGGTAAAAGTGCGTGAGCGGCACTGTATATCTACGAATTTCTACTCTCACCGCAAATAATGCTGGCCTCAACAACCTTGGAATATTAATTTGCAGTCACTTTCTATCTTTAGTTAATTAAAATTCGTTCGATCGAGATAGATAATTTTTTACAAAAGTACACCTTCTTTCGATGTTCCTTGCGAGAATTTCCACAAGACTCAATCGTACTATTAAGAAAAGAGTCTGTGTAGCATCATGAGAAATCTTAAAAAGTTTCTCAACGATTTCAATAAGTTAATAAATTAAACGATTACAGAAATAACACTCGTAGGATATTTTACTCAGAGAGATATATTCCTTCGGAGATGTCCATTCAGTGTTATTAGATAGGAGTAACTCGCTAAGTAAAATAGTAAACAAAATTGAAATAAAGATCGAAGAGAACTCCGACAATTTATTGAAATCGGTTTATTATATTTATTATCGTTAGCGCTAGGTTGGATTAAAAATGCTGTTTCTTGCGACACAAATGGGCCTATTTATATATGAGACAGGTGTGTGAATTTCTCCCCACCATTGAAATGGCGCAATTCAACAATCACACAGTTTGAATTCGCTAAAATTCGGATTTGCTACTGACCTTTTCTATTTTTAACCCTTATAAAATGTTAAAACTTAATTAAAATACAGTTTAAATGTACACAAATAATGTAATGAATGTTTGACTAGTAATTCATACTTTTCAAACACAATTTTCATATGATATCAATTTAAATTTATTAGTTTCTTTGGAATTTAAAATCAATGATAGTATTAATAATTTTATTATGTGTATAAATAAATAAATGTCATAGTTATAAATGACTGAACTTAGATAATTATAGAGTTTTTCATCATTCATTATGATTTTCGCTTAAGTTCAATGTTTATTTACTTTACAATCAATATCAAATTGTTTAAATAACATTCTTATACTTAGTTGTTGATAACTTTTATGGAAAAAACAATTATGAATAATTCAATATCTCTTTTTCTATACTGCATTTCGTTAGATAATTTTTCTTTCATTCGGAACTTTGTATTGATTGCAATTAATTATTTTAATTGTTAATAATATTCGTAGTAAATGCACTTAAAGGTACACATTTAAAACATTTGTAAATTCGAAAAATAGGCCTGACTGACTTGTGAAAGACTTCCAGTTAGTCGGCGTTCCGACTCAGATTACTCCTCTCCGCCTTGGCGCTCCAAGTGAACACCGCGACACGCCCCCGCGACACCTATCGGAGCCAGGTCTAGCGAGCTCTTGGCACCCCGAGGACTAGATAATTGCCCGTTCATCCATTCTCTTTCATAGCGGCGCTTCGTTGTTTAGGAGAAGGGATCTGCAACACCAACCGACTAGGCCGCAGTTTCCTCGTTCCTGGCGCACCAAGTGCGGGTCAACTTCGACACTCTCCGGTTCCTCACGGCGGCGCCCCGTCGTGAAAGAGAGGCCGACACCGATCTACACTCCTATACAGCCCGCGCGTACGCTCTAGAATCAACGAAGTACTGGCGCACTAGGACTTCGCTGATTCAAGAGAAATTATTTCTCCCGCAGATGGTACTCCGTCCATGGTTGAAGCAGTCGTTTAGACAGCGAAATATTATACTAGCTAGAACTGGACA